ATTGTGTGTTGCTGGTTTTGGGTTGTGGGTTCTTATTGTGTGTTGCTGGTTTTGGCTTGTCGGTTTTTATTGTGTGTTGCTGGTTCTGTGTTCTTCATTGTGGGTATTAAGTGTCTGTGAAATGTGGGCAGACGTGGGTGGATTGCAGGCTGATGTCGTTCCCTGGTGTATTCGAGTCCGTCAGGTTTTTCGAGAAGCTTAACCAGCCACTGTGTACGTGTCTCTTGGTGCCTCTGCATTCTTGGCAAGGGGGGGAGACAAGCAAGTAGACAAGCTATGTTTGCCCACCCGTCATACAGGACAAATAGCTCCAGTTTTTCGTCTTTAACAGTGTAACTGCCCTAATCTCGGCTGGTCGTGACACGAGTGCAGACACAATCAAAGGAATTCAAACACACGCACACAGAACCAAGTAAGTTACGGGGATTGAGGCACAACGCAGCAAAAGGTCAGCACCAAAAGCTTTTAGGGCTAAGATTGGATAAATCGTGATCCATACAAAATGGCTAGCTCTGCTTCCAACTCCCTCCGCCTCGTCATGACGCCTTGCCGGGTCAGTCGGGCTGATCCAGGCGACAGATGGGTCGTCATGAGGCGGTTAGAGACTCGACCTCTTGGCACCCGATAAGTGATCAAGAGTCGTGGCCAGACAAAAACCCGACAGACCAGTGCGGTGGTCGTCAAGTGCGGCCTGACTCACAGTCGTGATTACGGCAGGTAGATGCCCTTTTGCAGGAGAAGTCACAAGGTCGATCGGCGAGAGGCATCAGATCACCGACGCATCGATCCGCGGAGTAAACAGAGATGTAGCACATGCGCAGAGGCGGGCTTCTGTCGATAGGGCCACACACACACACACACACACGCGCACAGAAGTCTGGATTCGGCAGACGGAGCTCGAGAGAAGAGGCGGCTTTTTTCCGTGCTGGAGAGGAGGGGTGCGGAAAAGGGGGTACCTACCTCGAGCCACAAAGCAGGCTGGAGACAGCGGTGGCCTCGAACCCCCTGGCCGGAGGTGAGCAACGCAGCCAGGCTGAGTGGACTGCTTGCGTGTGTACGTATGTGTGTACGTGTATGTGGGTGGGTGTTTCGGGTGGCGGGACGACTTAGAACTCCAATCAGATCGAAACTGCCATCACAGTTAGCATAAAAGGTGAACCCGAAACCCTTCTTACTATGCAATGCGAAACGTCATGTGAACCGTGGTACTTCACGTAACCGGCGTTCTCTTGGCCTCGAATCTCGTCAAGGTCATCGGATCGATCCGACAATGCCACCTGCAAGGGTAATGGGGCCAAATAGCTACAAGAGTGCATCTGCTTATACGAGTACCGGCGACGTGGACAAATGCACATTTGCTGTGCAACACACGCACAGAAGACACATAAACATAAACATGGACGCAGAAACGGAGAGAAAGCATTATGCCATCACGCCCCACAGAACGTACACACAGATAGCCTATCAAACACACCTACAAGTACACACATACACACACACAAGCCACTTGGGGCTAGATCCAGGCCTGGTCGCAGCATGTGCAACTAGGTCTCCTGGGCGTGGGTGGCAGGATCAAGGTCATGACACTAGTGTGCCCTCTTTGCTGTCTGTCCTGGCGGGTCCGATGACATTTGCGGCACGTCTGAACTTTAGGCGGAGGATTGTATACGACACACACACAAATACACATACACATACACACACACACACAGATAAACCTTCACATCGAAAGGGTAACCGTATATGGGGATAAATAGAGGGAGAGAGCAGTAGAGAATGGAAAATGTATGCAGAGATGGTGAAAGAGAGAGGCGCAAAACGAGACCGCGATCTCGGAGCCAGGTCATCTCGGGCATGACTCCGTATGTGTGGCGATCCTGGGTCGGCTGGCAACTAATGGCCAGAAAATCAAAAGTGAGGAGCAGATCGCGTGCAAGTGTTAAGCCTACAAGAATCTTGATCTCGACGTCTCCAGCTCATCTGAGGGTGCACTAACCGCGAATGCGTATGCACATTTACGCATATAACAAACACACAGTGGCACTGTAAGATGAAATGTGACAATTGTGTATTTGTGTGTGTGTGTGTGTGTGTGTATGAGAAAGAGAGAGAGAGAGAGAGAGAGAGAAAAGTACAGAACAATTACGCCTTTTGTGGATGGCCAGTAGAGAGTGTATGTGCATCCGTAGGGCTGCGTAATGGTGTCAGACAAACTTTTAACGCTATCGCAGGCATGAGAGAATAATACGAAAAAGAAATAGACAGCTATGCGAAAGTAGGCATTGACGACGCAGGCAGAGATCTGCCTGTGGGAGAGACACCAACCGGTGGATCCGGCGCGGCCTACCGAGATCAACCGGCCTAACCGGTCAAGGTCAGCAGAGCCGGCGAGGACGGAGGAGAGAGGAGGGAGGAGGGAGGAGGGAGGACAGCCCGGGCAGACGAAGGTTGAGATCTGCTCCCCTCGGCCTTCTGACGACGCTCAGTGAGGCCGCGAAGGCTACAACTGCGACCAAACCCCAGAGGGCACAAACAAATACATGCAGACGTACACACACACACATACACAGACAAACCAGAGTTTAACTCTGTCTCCATTGCTGCAGAGAAGAGACGGCATCGAGATATGGGCGAAGAGGGGTCTCAGTTGCCGTGAGCGGATGGGCTGTCGCTCTCTTTCTCTCTCTCTCTCTCTCACACACACACACACACGCACGCACACGCGCAATTCAGGTCTTGTGACACAAAAGAGAGCCACATCGCCTCCAGTCGAGCGGTGGATGGTCAAGTCAGTCAGAGAAGGACATGACAACACGAATGTTGAGCGGTGCTGGAGCCGCAGAACTGCGGTCAGATAGATCTGAAGGAGACAGCATTTTGGAAGAGCTACAGGGCTCGCGGCCAAGCTGCCTCAGCGAGTCAATCGGGGCAACAAAACAGGCTGTGCTTCATCTCGTTTTTGCAACTTACTGGTCTTCTCAATGCGACCTCAGTCCACCTACCCCTCCCATATTGCGTCCTGTTCCAATGGTGCCATGGCTCCATCAAGCATCGGACAATCGATCGAGTACACTCTCAATTGCCTTGCCAGCATCGTAGTCAAAGTGACAAGAGTTGAAGTTCGGTGCAAAACATGCCAACCACGATACCGAGGAAACGCCCGAGAATAAGCCCAGCTAACGATCCGATGCTGGAAGAAGAAGAGGAGGAGAAGAAGAAGAAGAAGAGCCGACAGAGTACGGGGTGCCTTCCTCAGTCTCTCTCAGATTAGTAGGTCAAACCAGGTCGATTCAGAAAAAGGAGACTGCAACTAAACCTAAGGTCATACCATCTTGGTCTTCATGTCTATGATAATGTACCTTTCACACGGCGGTCAGAGAACAAAGTCTAAGTACAAGGCTGGTTGATAGTGTCGACAAAGCGAGTGATTATTAATATATAATGTACGCATTACCATTACAAAAGTGCAAAAATTGTGCATAATGCAATCCCTAAGTGGGCACTGGTCAGGTGAACGTGGACTTGCAAGTTGTAAACGGGGCATACGAATTCAACCGAATCGCGTGGACTCTGCATCCGCACGACCTGATGGAGATCCAAGAGATAGTGAGCCATTTTTAGTATTTCCAAAAAGACGTTGGTCGAACTAGCACCACAAGAGATGTTCCTTATCGAATAGACACGGGATTCTACGATAAGTGTAAAGAATCCTGCTAGGGAATGACAAAAAAGTGTAGATCATCTTGGCGTTTGGAAGTTTGATGACTAACTTTCTTATGCGGAGTATACGCGAAGGAAATTTGGCTTCCGAGGATTCTCTTGAAATACACTTGTCGAGCTCGTTTGCATAACGAATTGCCGGTGAGGAGATTCCAGGTAGATCGCACTAGAAGACGACGAAAGATTCCTGTTGGCCACCTGCTGATTGGTTTTACTGGAGCATGCTTGCTGACGCTGTTTCCTGGCTAATCGCCGTCGATTCCCATGAAAAGGTGCTAAGGTTCAAGAGCACGGTATCATTCCTACAACCGCATTCAAGTGATAAGCAGGAAAACTCACCGGCCCATCTAAGCTTTTCGATGAGGTATTAAATGATTTCATTAATTCCAGTTATTTTTTCAACTGCTAAGTGTTTGTGTCTGTCTGTTTGGGTGCGCTCACGTGTCTCCACGTATTTGTATAGGTGCAAAACCAGTAGAGATGGGTCAAAGAAACTAGAAAAAAACGAATCAAAGGATGGGGTTTTCTTGACTTGCTAGCCTAGCATGTTTCACTGCAATCGAAGAAGATTGCCTCGGAAACAGCGTCAACGTGAATGCTCCAGTAGAGCCAATCGACAGCTGGTCAAGAGGAATCGGCCGCAGTCTTCTGGTGGGATCGACCTTTTAATCTCTGCACCAAACACGTTCATTCGAAGTGATAGCCAGCTGAACTATTTCTTATGTGAAGATGCAACATGAGAACTTGGGTTACCTGGTAGGTGAAATTCATGTAATGGTTCTGGACAAGACGAAAAAATCGAAAAAGTCTACACTTGTATGTTGATCCTTAAACATTACGTAACAACAGGCAAATCTTCCGCGTGGATACATGAAATTAGCTAGTTGATTTGTGACTAAATTGGGAGAGGGGCTGCATGAATAAAGTCAGTGGACTGTGTATTTCATCAAGAAAGTTGCGTGGAAGGGACTTGTAGATTGGCCTCTTTCGAAATCATCCCCAAGTGGGAGAGTCAATGTGTGCAACCGTTAATTAAAGATACAAAGAGCAACTGGGTTTCGATGAATCTTTTAACATAACATTGCTGGGGAGACTTCCATTTCGTATGAAATTGGAAGATCAAGAGGTTCATTGGTTGATCCCACCAGAAGATGCTGTGCAGCCGTTTTTCCTTTAATATGACGTTCATGTTGACGCAGTCCCCGAGACATCCCCTTTGTTTTGGATGAAATAGAGCTGACGGTCCATCATATGATGAGCATCAAAGCTGTCCAGCATATCATGGACAAACGCTTAGTCTGTCTTGATCCAAAACGAGGTAGTATATCATGTGGACTGCGACGACCTGAGCGTCGTATTAAAGCCAAACGGCTGCAGAACAACCGGAATCGGTCGTCGTCTTCCAGTGAGATCAAATTCGAGTGAAAGTGTGCGTAAGGAAGAGATTCGAAGATGGACCCACAAGAAGACGGCGGTAGATTGCACTTGATCACATTTCAATTGGCCCTACTCCAACATTCCGGCCGACTGTGAACCTAAAGGAATCTCCGTCGATTCCGGTGAAGACGTGATAAGCTTTCGTCCGTCATACGGCGGGCC